GTCGGTGGCAGCTGAGGCGTTACCGTGGAGCGGCCGCCCCAGCCCGCTGCGCCGGGGAGCGGGTGTCACCGGGGGGGGTGCGGCGGACCCGTAGAACCGGCGGCCGGAGTCCCTCGGCCTTAGCCAGCACAGCGCTCGGTGCCCGCAACTCCTTCTCTGCCTCCCGGTGTTGATCGATACGGGGCCTCTTAAAAGCTTTGCTTTTTTTCCCCCCCCGCCCCCCTACCCCTTTCCTGAAGCAGAAGTAACATTTCTAGCTTCCCTCCCCTCACGTAAACACCCCCTCTCCCCTCCCCCAGTGCAAAATTTGATGGGAAGCTACCTGTCTGGAGTTCACCTTAGTTCAGTCTCTTTTCAGTGAGATCACCATCCAAAAATACGGTGCAAGCTTGAAAAGTTTATTTATGTTTTAATTTACGCTATATGTAATATATATTTATATTATTATTATTATTTATATTATTGTTATTATCATCATCCCTATTGTTTGAGGCTATAGCTCAGGCTTACTACAATATCTGGCCATTTGCTTTCTTAACTTTTTGTTTGGGATGGGCATTTAGTAATGATACTAACCAAAATGTCTAATGAAGGCGGTGGTCCTGGGAAGGGGATCAGTTGTTTAGAGATCAGGGTATGTAGAAGTGCACAGTTGACTTCTGGTATTTCTGATTAACTTTGGACAACGTGCATTCTTCTCCCTGGCCTTGACCACATTTTACCTTGATCACAGTAGGCCAGAAAACAAAATACGGTACTAAGAAGGTTTTAGTTTTGCAAAAATAAAATGCTAAGTCAAATTCCATGCCTATCTGTAAGCTTGAAATATGTAAACTCACCTTTCCTCCTACCTGTATCTTTTAAGGGAGACCAAAATATTTGATCCAGTGATGTGGAAGTGGCAGAAAGTCTCATTAGGTCAGAGGGACTTTGAACTTCAGTTTTAGACTCTCTGGTTTTGAGAAGTTGAGGCCTTTGATAGTGTAACACCCAGTTTACACTGATCTGTAAGGAAAATCATGGCTTTCCTTTCACAGGCCCTGCCTTTTGGTAGTGTTTTTTGGTGTTTGGTTGGTTTTGTTGGGGTTTTTTTTCGGGCTTTTTTGTGATGTATGGTAGAATTAAGGCACAAAGGACTTCAGGAAAGAATTTTATGTGCTATGAAAATTACACATCCTTTTTAGGCTGTATCTTTAAAACACAATCATATCTCTCATTTTTGAAGAGAGAACAAGCATCATCCAAAGCAAAGCAAATGAAACCAATTGAGCAAACCTCTACAGAACAGTTTTACTCCATGACAAATACAATGCTGAATTCTTTACTTACAATTTTGTAAGCTTTAGCAGTTGTAGGAAGGCAGAAAGTCCCCTGGATTTCCACACTGTAAAGAGTATTTCTCTATATAAAATGTTTTTGTAGGACTGTATTTTTAACAGGTTGTTTCCCTAAGTACGGTATTGCATAAAAGAACAGTTTTTATGTAAAACAAAGCTTGGTTAATGGCAGACATAAGGTGTTTTCTTCCATCTTCTGTATGTCCTACCTGTGTGTTTTAAATCTTTCACAAAGATATTTCTGATGATGGTTTTTACAGCTTTCTGAAAACGCAGCTGTAGGTTGGGATTATTCTTTGCTCTTTTGTGGATTGTGTAGGTCATTACAGTAATAAGCATGATCAGGACACTGTTAATTTCATACTGTTTTTGTTAAAGTTATGAGCAATTCCAGTTATAGTACAGTTGACAAGAAATATTTGAGTTTTATTTGCAAGCACACCTTTGCAGCTAGAGTTGGAAAACTGACTCCTTAAAAATTAAACAACTTCATCCATAGAAACTGAGCTGTTGTATCTCTTGAGTTTGCAGCATGTTACTTACCTTGCTAGAATTTCTTTTAAAACCTGCTTTGAAATATATTTAGGTGATTGTGAATATTTGATATTTTATTCTGCATTTTATGTATGAATGTTTAGTGTTTGCCTCTGTCTTTTGTGCTGTTTGGTTACTGGGAGGTACCAATAAACTGAAATACTGCTCCTCTGGAGACTTGAGTACTCTTGAGATTAATCCTGCATGTAGTCTGTGTCCAAAATTATAAGTATGCATATTTTTGTGGTTATGAAGTTTTAGTTTATAATCTCCATGAAACAAGAATGCTGTCATTTACTCGGTGCATAGAAAGCACCTAGCACAGGGTGTTCTGACTTTAAGTGCCTATGTCTTACAGTATGAGCAGTAATTTACTGGAATATAAGGGGAGTCCAGATGAAACATGGGAAGAATTTGTAAGTATAGCTGACTGTTTCTGAAACTCCATTGCTGGAGATTTTTTTCAAAGAACTTGTTAGTCACCTGCCCCGCACAGTTCTGTGTGAGTGATGCTGCCTAGCTAGCTCCACAGACTGGAAAATCTTCCCTTTCTCTTCTGCACTTTGTTGTTAATACGTGCAGTACAAAAATTGCAGTTTACAAGAATATTTATGCAAATGTGGGCAACTGCTTATAGTTTGGCTTTCTTCCAGTTTCCATATAATCAATCCTTCTGTTCCTGTGGCACAATATCATTTAATTGGTTTTGGTCTCAATTCCCACTAATGGGAACTCATCTTCTTTAATTTTTCCTGAAGACAATCTTTTCCTAGTGAGCAAATTCAGATTAGTAGTACTCTACAGGCGTGCAGCCATCTTGCTGCTATGAAATGTCTACATCTTTCATTACCTCTCTTCATTATCACAGAATTGTGATACACAGGGTTTTTGTAGTAAAACCAGGTTATTTACCACAACAAATTAGTTCACAAGAGATTTGTGTTCTAAGTAATAGAAAAATGTGTTCTTTAAATGGAAAGTGCAGTGAATTTATGTACTTCTCTCTTTTGGGGAGAGTGAGGAAGTGTAATTTTTTCAGTATCTGAGGGGCTTTATGGATGATACTTAGTTATGGATTAATTTTTTGAACATTACATTTTTTTTTATTCTGTTGCAGAGGCAGTAGACAAAGCATGAAATTTTTCAAGAACCATTCCAAAACAGTTATACCAGCTTATTTATTAAAAATACTTCTATTTAGCACCTGTTATAGCTGAGACATTAAAGTAAAATATTTCAAAATTCTGATTGTATGTTAGGAAAAACACAAACCAGTATTATATGGAAATGTATTATTTTAGGTTTGTGGTAGCATTCAGTGTTTCTACATACCAGAAGAAAGTACGTGCTTAAGACATAAGGAGTGACTTGAGAATACCTCTTCTTATGTGTATCAGATTGGCCACTGTTTATAACCACAACATGTGGTTGTAAAGAAACAGTATGTTTTCTAACAGAGATTTAAAAAAAAAAAAAGGTGAAAATTGTGGTTCCATATTAAAGTAGTAGATAAGTACATGTTCCTCCAAAGTTTTTCTTACACAACTTACTAGTTTTTAAACTTTCCCCTTCCTGCCCATAGAAGAGATCTTCATTTTTTTTCACATGTACTTGAGTACAAAATGTAGCTACAGAAAAGGAACAGCAGAATGTGTTAGGAATGCTGTCCAAGGCTTTACTTTTCCTGCAAGTATCAGCCTCTGAGTTGATCTAAAAGAGCTAAATACATTCTTCTGAATACCAGCTTCTAAATGCACATGAAATTTGTATACCATCGTGAGAAGAAAAAGCAGTGAGCAGTTTTCGCATGCAAAGTCCAATAATTGCACAAGTTTTACAGTATCGTTCTGTGCAAAGATTGCAAGTTGAAGAAATTTGTGGACTTAATGGAAGTATTTTCCAAAGGTTGTACAGCAGTGCTTTGAAAGAACATTGGAAAAGACAAAAGTAAATTATATTTGGTTGAGATTTTCTATGGTGTTTTCCTTAGAGGTAGTTCACATGCGTTCTGTATAAAATTATAAGAACCATTAATGTGGAACAGCTGAGTAACTCTTCCTTGTTGCAGTTTCTTTTATAAAAGTTTATTTTTATTATTTTATACTGCTGTGGTAAACAAAAAGGCAACAAAACATTAATGTGTTTTTGTCTCTTTTCAAAGGAAGAAGAAGAATTCTGTCAGTATAACTCATTCCTGTATTGGAGAGCACCATTGCCTACTATTGATTTGTCTGATATTCAGAACCTAGATGGAGAAACTTCACCAGAAGCTAAAACTCCTTCAAGGACTGATACCATGGACACTGAAATGGAGACCTGATCAATTGTGTCATCGTTGTACATCTCGCAGGAAACACGTTTCCATTTGGATTCAGGTTTTTCTACTTGGGAGAAAAATAAGCATGCTTCTGCCTTCTTGACAAAACAATCTATGTCAGCCTGCAAGAGCAAGTCTAAGTTGTCTAAGTGAATGGGATAATCGCTATTAGATACTTAATAGTAAGCTGTCTGGAGGTGTACAGTGTGGATGAGGCTATGATGTCAAGGAAGAATGCTTGAAAACATGGAAACAAGGCTATAAGAAGACTGCAGAAAATTAGAACTTTGGGATGCAATTAAAAGAAACGGGGATATGTTACATGTCAAAAGGAAATGGAAAATTGTTTTGCCTGTTCTGAGCAAAAAGATGTAACTGTGGTACCTGAGATATTTCTTATGTGAATTTTTCATAAAGCACACAGACTGTAGTGAATTTAAATTTTTGTGTGTGTGTTATAGCTAAACCAAAAATAAGAGCCTACCAAAACCAGAAAAAACATTCCCTTTTCTATGCAAACCAAAAACAAGTGTGGCAGGGAGGAGGAAGGAAAAGGGGATATTTTCTTCTGTAAGTTGCCACTGTTCTGGAATTTTTTCTCATTCTCCTTGTAAAAAAGTTTTTTCACTTTCTCGTTTCACATTACCCAAAGCAGTGGACAGCCAGCTTTTAGATTTTTGGTCCATTCTCAAGTTAATGCTGTTCTTATTCTTTGTAGTGTTAGCTCTGAATAAGTAGGTAGCATTGAAATGGCAGGTGTGCGCAGATGTGTTGAGAAAAGTTGATGCAAAATTACCACATAGGCTTTTCAAGACTTAACTGACTGAGGTGTAGTTTTTACAGAGCTTGTGGATCTTGCAAACTTTTTTCTTTCCAAATTTTTTCCAATAATTTTTTTGAAATATTAATTGGTGTTTTGGGTTTTTTTGTGAAATACAAACTTGATGCTTTTCTTCTGTAATTTCTTGTCTTCTGTACAAGTTGAAGTACAATTAGAAATACTTGCCTTTAATAGTTGCCTGAAGTTGTGTGGACAGACTGTCAGACTTTGCAGATTTGATTTGACTTTAAGGATAAAAAACACTGTATTTTTGCTGCAGTCACCATTGAAGAAGGCAACTTGTGAATTATTTTTTTTTTTTATTATGTATTTGCTAAAGGACAATAAAGTTTTGCCTGTGTGTATTTGAAAACTTGGGTACTATTACTGTGTGAAGTTCCTGACTGTGTGTCTTAAGATTGTTGCTTCTATAACTTTGTCATTTTATTCAGGCTTTTTGTTTAAAGCTAGCTTGTGAGCCTTCTTAGTTTTTTTCAGTATTTGTGCTCTAAGGTATCTTTATTGGTCATTTGTTTTAGATCGGTAGTGTCTCTTACTGCCCACAGAAGAAAGGAGTGACTCAGGCATTTCATGGTGCTTGTTTAGTTGTGCTTCTACCTGCAGTCAGATTAGCTGGATACATATTTAAACAATATTTATTTTTCTCACACATTTTCAATCATACTTTTAAAGTCCAAATATGTCACTTTGTCTTAGGAAGTACCTTACAAGTGTTTTTAAAAGCAAAGTCCTTTTCTGGCAAGAACGCATCTGCTATTTCGTGTTTACCATACCATAGCCAAAGTAAATTGGTGAGGAAATAGATTAATTAATTTGTTAAGGTGTTTGTTTGGGCTTTTTTTGGTTGTTGTTTTTTGTTGGTTGTTTTTTTTTTATCCCAGGTAATATATGCATTCCTGTATTTGTGGATTTTATACTATTTCATACCACCCACTATTCTCAGGATCCAGTATTTTGCATTATTAGGTAGTATATTTGCAGACATACTTTAGTTACTTAAAATCTTCTTGGAGCTTCGTACACAGTAGATATGTCCTAGCAACAGATTGCATTTAAGCATTAAAATCTGTCTTTCCATTATATTCACAGGACAGAAGAGGTTCTATTGTTGTCGCTAAAATATGCATTTGTGCTTTTCCATAACAACAAAAAAAATCCCCTTAAAACAAATTAAGATTGCACTACGTTGTAAGCCATATATCTGCTTTAATTGCAATTATGCTGTAGGCAAGAACTTTCTTCTCAGCTTGTTCCTGTCCTGGGCTCTGGGTTGTGAGCTGGAATGTTATGGCTACTTTCAGAGCATTTGCTGGGCTGATTATTTTTTTCCATTCATCTGTTTGCAAATAGAGGCAAATTTAAAAGCCTTGGAAAATTTTCTGAAAGGAGTCTGAGAAAGTACAAAGGACTGGGCAAGGTAAAGGGAGTGATGGTTACATACACTTTGCATTACAGCTGTCAAAAGGTGTCTTTGTTCAATGTGTGGTGTCTCCAGACACCATGTGTCACTGTGGGCTACCAAAACACTGGTCTTGACTTCCACCTCCATTTTTCTAGTGAGCTCTTGCTCAAGGGCTGTACATAAATTATAAATAAACTAAAGATGTTTTACTTTGCATATGCATTCATATGCATAGAGAAGAAAATGTTCTTTTGAAATAACAAAATGTTGGCACAAATTTTAACACAACTCAGGAGTAGCATAATACCTCCCAACTGGTGATATTCACTTGATATGTTCTTAAACTTTCAGAACAAAAAAACTGTTTATGCTCTCTCTGGATAATTGGGAATTTGCTTTTGTCTGAAATGTGCCTCTCTAAAAGGAAGAACAACTGTCAAACAATTAAGAAGTATGACCACTGAGATCATTTAGGTACTACCCAGGTTGATCAGGGTGTTGTATCTGGAAGTTGCACAGTAAGGGTATGGGTATTCTAATGAGAAGTGAAATGCTGACACTAAATATGTTTCAAAGCAGATACAAAAAGCAGACTAGTAATAACCAGCATGTTGGCCTGTGTAAATTTCCTGTCTCAATCTAAACTGAAAGCCTGCTTTATATGTTCTGATTTGTTTTTACTGAAGGTCTGTACTATATTTATGGTTCCTAAGATAGGTAAGCCCACAGGAGAAGCCTAAATTGCAGTCCTAATCAGGAAATTGAAGAACTACTATGAAAAACAGGATACATTAATGACCGTGTGTTGGGTAAGTAAACTGTGGTAGAAGGAAATTTGAAAAAAGAAAGTGGGGAATGGAAGATAGGTGATGAAGTAGCATAGCAACTGAGTGGAGGCATAGTTAGCCAGCAGAGCAATAACAGGAAGTAGCATTTTGAGCTTGGGCTCCATCTTCAGCACAGCAACATATACAATAATGTGAATATGATAATTAACAATAAATTTGTTATGTTTCTCACTGTTTTGACAGTTACTGGTTGATATTTTTTCCTGTTGGCAAGGCCAATAATTTCATGGACGTTGAAAAAATATACGCTTATGTATATGGGAAGTTGGAAAATCCACAGGATCCTTCGTGTAGAAAATAAGAGTGCGAATGTATGTTTCCAGGTAGCACCAAAGATACTTACTGCCCACCGTTTGGCAGCTATGTCTGTTTCTGACAGATTTGTTGTGGGGAATTCACCTTTATTTTTGTCAAAGTGTCTGCTGGCAGCTGCAATAAGAGATGTTAGACTGCATGGAGTAATTTTTTGGTATAGCAAAGCTTACGTTCAAATAAGCATTTCAAAACAGCTAGTGTGCTTGGGCTGGCTTAATTATTTACATGCCTACAGTTATAACCTTGACTCTCTAGGTGGCAATACGCATACATGGTAAACTACAGTGAATCTGGAAAATGCTTTGGGTGTGCTTTTATTCTGAACTGCTACTGAAAATTCGAGCAGTGACATCATGAATGTTAATCATTTCCTTACTGTGATGCATAAATAAAGGCAGATTAGGTCGCAAGTTCCTGAGTATAAGGTGACATGAGATCTTCAGCATAATTGGAGTGAAAACATTTTGTCGAGAATTTTTGGTTCACAGCTTCATTTCTCTCTTCACCACCACCCCCTCCCAAAAAAAAAAGTTATCAATTTAACACATGGGAATTTGTTGTCCCTGTTTCTTATCACTGTTTCCATCAGTTACAACTGGAAAGCAAGCTTTACCCGATTGTTGGATGGAAACCTTGGTTAGTGGCTGAAGGCTACTTCAAATGTATTTGTTAAATATGGGGAAGAAAAAGGTAAGTGCTAATTCATAAGAAGCTAACTCATGAAGTAGTGTTTGAATGTTGGTGTGTAGGTAACTAAGTTCGAAATGTATGAGGAAATTTCAAATAGGCTTTTTCAAGTATTCTTACTAAAAGGTTGCTTATTTAAAAATCCTATTTCAATCTTTTTGTATTAGAGAATTTGATGTTAATGCAGCAAACTATTCTAATTATTGATACTTCATTTTTAAGTGGACGTGTTATTAATAAGTATGTTTTAAATGCTCTTAGTTAAAAAACCAGTATTTATGACTTCGTAGTCACTTCTAAGGGAATAAAAATCATTGTTCTTTCTTCTCTTAAAGCCATACAGATCATAACTTTTCACTACTGAAGGAAAAAATAGCTTTCTTATTATTGATATGTTACCGTTCCCAGAGGGATAATTGTGAAAGGAGGGTGGAGGCAAAGTCAATTTTTGTTCCTAATTTTATTTTGCATTTAAGAATTATTATGCTAGATGGTAGTTTTCCTGGGTTTGTTTTTTCTTCTTCTAATAGTGAATTTTTGAAATAAGGTTTATGGACGGGTAAACATTACTCTTTTTTTCATTTTATTATATGAATACCCAGAGTATTCGTGTTTGGATTGGAATATGATGAAATCAGTGGCTTACCAAGTATGAGATTGAAAAAAGTAAACAAAAGTAGTATTATACTATCCTCAATAAAGTGTAAGTCAAAGGAAAGTTTTTTCATGCAGAGCTATGAATGGAAATGAGCCACATCTATTCACAGTTCTCTTACTGAGGTGAATTTTGTGATGTCGTTCATTTGAGCAGTGCACAATGCTCTTCTAATTAAATTGGAACACACAATAATTAATTCCACTGGATCTTTCCTAAGTGTCAAATATCCTCTCTGTGAAGCCTAATGCTATATTGTGGGTACTTTTGATACTTCAACTTGCAGACTATGAAATTTGCTTTCAGTTTCTTTTACTTCCTGGCATTTAAAAAACTAATTTTGCTTCTGATTGCGTAAATTAGAAATTAATATGTAAGAACTACTTTGGCATAAAGTTACCAAAATCATACGGTTTCATGATTGTCAGTTGTAAACTGCAGTGTTCTTTTTAATCAAATAATCACATCATGTTGCAACTCTGCCTTTTGTAATAGTTTTTGTACTATTAGGAACTGGAGAAACCTGTGATTGAAAAGAGGAGAATCTACTTCAGACAAACCTCTGTATTTCCAAATGTGTAATGTGCAAATACAGAGACAGCAAAGACAGCTTTTCATTGTTTAAATTGAAGCCGTAACAATAATTCTAAAGTATGATTGTGAAGTATAGTTGGATATTAGAGTGAAAGATATCGCTAAAAGCAAAAAGTGCACACTTTGGACTTTAATAGTCATATCAAACCCGGAGTGTAAATATCAAAATGCCTTAATTTCCATGATATGGCAAGGCTTCAGGGAGAAATTACGCTGGTTTTGATGTCCAGTGTGTTTGAGGTTTTTTTCTTAGAGTCCATACATAACAACACTCCTATGCCCAAAATGTTTTAAGGATACATCATGGTCAGTGAGTCAAATGAATAGGTACTGAGAGTGCCTACTTGTTTTTATGCCAGCAAGTAGCATAGAAGGTAGAAGAGGCTCCCCATTATCTTTCTTTCTCATTATTTTGAGCCATAAGACAGATTCTGGTACCCATATTTCCATGCATTCCTCTCTCCCCTGTTTATATTGTGCAGCTTATCTGCAAATATCCTGGATTTGTCAAAGTCAATTACTCCAATCTCAAATAATTTTGGGACTTAGAGTTTATCTTTGATTGGGTGGTCTTGAATTATTGTGAGGCCAGAATTGCTAATTTACAAAGACCAGTCGTTTCAATAATTAGTTCAGCAATCAAAATGCTCTTACTCAAATTCCTTAGACCACGTTGTATGGCAATTACCAGTGTCTGTCATTGACTTAAAAGGAATGATAAAGGTACATTATTAGGTTTTCCTTTTCAGTAATGAAAATTAGAAACACTTTGCCTTTTAAAGATATGATTTTGAAGGTCTCTGTATTTCAGTGGTACTGCTTTACTACAGGTTAAAGCAGTGGAATTAGAT